GAAAAACCGTACGAAACCGTGCAAAATTTATCAAAAAATTAAATTATTTTTTAAATTTATTTGAATTTAAGGAGGTTATCGTGGTTTTTCTATTACCGTACCCCGCGGTAAGGCCAGTAACCGCGGTAACCACGCGGTTACCGACGGTAATGTAAACCCTGTGGACTAGTACCTTATAGCGATGATATTGATCTGTCGCAACATCTCCATTCTGATTTCCTGCAACATTTCCTGTTCATTGAAATGTAAAATAAAAAAAATATATTATTATGGGTGAGCTTGACAAGTTGATCACAATTCACATGATTGACGGCTCAAGATCTACAAGAATGTCAGTTTAAACTAAAACTCAAGTAGTATTCAGCTACCACTGTAGTGGAGTATATAAGGATAAAGATGCACAGATATTGGTCAACGTTCCACATCGAATTGGTCGCTGTTCAACATTCCAATTTGGCACATAATTCTAGCAAGCTGTGTCTTAATTGTAGCACTGTCGTTCACAAATGTCATAATCATTTAGCCGTATGTCACCATTCTGTCATCTAGTGGCTGTTGAGTTGAGTACTTTACTCAGATGCTGGCCTTGTTTGGATCCTCCGAGCTATTAAATAGCCCTTCGAAATCTTGCTATTTAGGATTATTAAACGTAGATTACCGATAAAACCGATTCCATAACCCCTAGTCTATTTTGCGAGACGAATCTAATGATGTATATTAATCCATAATTAGCGGCTGATTACTGTAGCATTACTGTAGCAAATCATGGATTAATATACCTCGTTAGATTCGTCTCGCAAAATAGCCTAGGGGTTATAGAATGGGTTTTGTCATTAACCTACGTTTAATACTTTTAAATAGCAAGATTCCGGAGGGCTATTTAATAGCCCTCCGGATCCAAACGGGGCCGCTGTATAGTAGACTAACAGTTGTGATTTGTGAAATATATATTTTTGGGCACTAAGTAGTGTATTGTACTGCAACTGTAAGTAATTGAATACCGAAACTGCCATAGCGGTTTGGAAAAAAGAAAATCACAGTTTCGAAGCCAAGAAGCAGAGTTAAAACTGAGTGACAGCAAAAGTAGAGTAGAGCAAGCGACTAATCGCAGTTTTACCCGGGGTGTGCGCGAAGGCGTCCCAGATGGACGGCCCGCGGCCGCCGGACGCCGCCATGCCCTCGACCTGGTACGCGGACGTGGCCGTCCCGAACACGAACCGCTTGGGGAACGCGGCGCGGCTCAGCCCGCCCAGCCAGTTGGGCTTGGGCACCGCCGCGGCACCAGCATCCCGCGCCGCCAACAGCGCGAGCGCCAGCACCAGCACCAGCGCGCAGTTCGCTCGCCGTGCAGCCATCACGACCGCGCGCGGCCGGAGCACACCGCCGGCAGGCGGCGGCAGCAGTTGTTCACACAGTGAGACCAAGCAGTAGCGCAAGCACACGCAGCCACGCACGCACAGTGGCCAACTATTGGGAGTATATAGCAGCGCTGCAGCGGTAGCTGCATGTGCGTGTCTCAATGATTGTCGGTGATGGGGACCGGGCACCGGGGAGCGGAGCGTCGCGAGCGCGCGATGGAATCTCGTCTCGTCTCCCCTATCGGAGACGTGGGGAGGTTTGGCAGTGCGCGCGCGGCCGAGTCCCTCCGTTCGAAAAAAAAAAAAAAGACAAAACCTGGTTTCCGTATCTAATGTTTGACTGTCCGTCTTATTTGAAAAAATTATAAAAAAATTTAAAAAGACAAGTCACGTATAAAATATTAATTATATTTTATCATCTAACAATAATAAAAATACAAATTATAAAAAAATTTTATATAAGACGGACAGTTAAAATTGGACACGGAAACCAGGATTTATTTATTTATTTTTTTTTTACGGAGGGAGTATTCGGGACCGATCGACGCGTCCGCGACCGGTGCCGGTGACTCGGTGATGAGATGGGTGCGAGTGATAATCGCGTGGGGGCGCGTGATGTGCCGGGGCAGGGTGGGGGCCGGGAAATGATGGCCAGTTCACGCCTGTCGGCCAGGTTAGGTGGCGGTGGCGCCACCTTTTCCGTGGAATCTGTGGCTCTGTGCATGTACTGGAGTACTGCCCCTCCGTCACATTTTAAATAGTACTCGCTTCGGTTTCATTTTAATTAAGAGTAAAATTCATCACCGGTCTCTAAACTTATACCACTATGTCATTCTGATCCCTAAACTTGCAAATCGACCGTTTAGGTCCTCAAACTTGTTCGACGGTATCATTCCGGTCTCTAAACATACAGATCACTCGTTTAGGTCCTCCAACTTGTTCAGTTATGTCACCCCGGTCCCTAAACAGGACGGTCTAAAAACTTTATATCAAAAAATAATTCATAACTTTTTCATGTTAACTCTAATGAAGACAAACTTTATATCAAAATTGTAGCTCTCGACGCGACCTACAACTTTGTAGTTGAAAAGTTTTTGAATTAAAACTGTTTAGGGTCCCAAAATATTATTGCATATTTATAGATTTTGTAATTTTAATTTTAAAATTACATTTTGGGAAAAAAATGACTTAAAATAAAAAAAAATTCAACTACAAAGTTGTAGATCGTGTCGCGGGCTACAAGTTTGATATAAAGTTTATCTTCATTAGAGTTCACATGAAAAAGTTATGAATTATTTTTAAATATAAAATATTTAGACCGTCCTATTTGACCCAGATGATATTCAAATCCAAGTTTAGGGACCGGAGTGACACAGCTGAACAAGTTGGAGGACCTAAACGAGTGATCTGCAAGTTTAAGGACCGGGATGACACAGTTGAACAATTTTAAGGACTTGAACGGTCGATTTGCGAGTTTAGGGACCGGGATGACACAACGATATAAGTTTAGGGACCGGTGATAGACTTTACTCTTTAATTACTTCCCCCGTCCCAAAATGTAAGTATTTTTGAGGTTGGCACGGGTATTAAGAAAGTAAGTGAGAATGATTGAAGAATGTGTGCGATTGGTTGAAAAGAGAAAGTAGGTGAAAAAGAATGGTTGTGATTGGTTGAGAGGAGAAGGTAGGTAGAAAAATAGCTTCATTTTGGGACAAAGTACTGTGCTAGAAATAGCTACATTTTGGGATGGAGGTAGTAACGTTTTAAACAATGTCACGGACTATAAAATATATTTTTGATCTTTTTTTATTAATATATATATAATAAATAAATGCATGTTTACTTTTATTATAGTGCTTTAAAAGACAAATCTATATATGTTGTTCTAGTTTCTTCAAACTAAATATTTTTAAAGTTATTAATGGTCAAAGTTATAAAAGTTTGACCTCAACCTTATCCAAAACGTCAATTATTATGGAACCGGAGGGAGTATAACCATAAGTTTTGGTATCCAACTTTAATTATCCATCTTATTTAAAATATTTTTATAATTTATAATTTTATTGTTATGAGATGATAAAATATAAATAGTACTTATGTTTTTAAATTTTTTTTACAAATTTTTTAAATAAGATGGACGGTCAAAATTGTGCACGGAAAATCATGGCTACACTTAAAATGAGATGGTGGAAGTAGTAGATAAACGGGGTTCGTGGTGTGTGGTACGCCGGTACGGTGTTTGACCCTGGAGAGGAGAATACCCATCTGTCAACAACGTGGGTCCGTGGAAATATGGAATCCGCCGCAACAAATTGTGGAAACGAAAAGCGAAACGGTATATTTGTAAATAAAAAAGTAATTTGTGAATAAAACTTTTATATACGTGTTCTTAGTGATTTAAAAGCAAAGACTGAAAAATAAACTTCAATGAAAAAACCTCAAAATCAGTTTTAAATTTAAGGTTGAAAATTTAAGTTTTGACTGATAAGTATAAGTATAAGCGAAACGATGAGGCGAAACGATGAGGCCACAGTCATCTGATTACAATCGATAGATGGGATCAATGTACCCAATAAATAGCGCGATCACATTTACCGTCTTGTTCCTCTGTCCTCTCCCACTCGTAAATGTGTTTGATCTACCAGGCGTTGATTAATTTACAGGGATGTAGAGAAACGCCCCGGAGTTTTCCGGCTAGCTTCACAAGGTGGTGGGCTAGACGATCTGTATTCGAAACCTCACCCTTCTAATTATTTGATATTAGATCATTCCCTAATATTTGTGTCCTTTTTACATGGATGCAAGTGAACAAATACATTACCAGTATAGAAATCTGCTTAATAGTATTAATTTATTTTTTATATTATATGTACTACGTCCATCAGAGAATATAATGGATTTTACCTAAGTAATGGTTAACGGGGAAAATTTTTCTTATATTTTGAAAAGAAGATAGTAAAATTTAGGAGGGAGTGACTAGAACTGAGATAAGTGGACAAAAATCTTTCAAAAAAAAGTTTATAAGTGGAAGAAAAAAAGGCTGCTTGTTCGGGCCACTCATCCCTGTTGAGTTGCCTCTTGTGTCTAGGTTTGCCCTACTCTCAAGTCTCAACTGATCCAAGAGAGAAGTTTAATTTACCTTACTATCCTCCTATATTCCTACAAGTTTCCCGACAGTTAGATATGGTTTATCACTTTGACACTGATGATGGAGCTCTCTAATCATTGGCAAAGAATGCACATTACATACCTATAAATCCAATGATTGGCGTGGAGATATGTATTTCCCTACATCCTGCACTTATGTAGGTTCACGTACTTAAACAAAAAATTTAGGGGGTGGGGTGTCAAAATATGTATGGAGGTTGTGCGTCCATTTTGCCCAAATCTTTTAAAGGAAGGAGTACTAGTTTTTGTCCTCCGCCGTTGTGGGTGTTTTCAGTCAGGTTCGGTATGCCAAAACTACTAGACGCCGTGTACTGGTTCGGTAGCCTCGTCATACACGTGAGCCCCTGCAGGATCGCCTTCGGCCCCTCGAGGAGTCCAGGTTGATGTGGCTTATATTCTCAATCAATGCCACTGAGAAAGAACGGTGGTTCAGGTAAATTCACCCGGTGGATTTGCAGGCCAAAGTCCAGGATATCTGAAGTTCTGAACCCGAAAAGTTGATGTAGTTTAATCAATACATACTACAAATACAAACACTGAAACACACAATAGCGTAATCACCACAAGTACTACAAATCTGGTTCTGAATCATAGTGCTCACTACTGGCGAAAAGCACGCGAAAATTAAACAAGATGGCCTTCAGGTTGGTCTCTCTCAGCTCCTCTTAGCTGCAGCACATTTTTTAAAGCGAACATACTGCTGGCATCCACTACTTATTAATCACTGCTAAATTGCTACTTCTACAGGGATAAAAACATGAAGAAGGAAGGGAAAAGAAAATGCAAGGAAACCAACAGGGGAAGCAAGAGCCGATGGCTACTTGAGATGGCTGAACCAACTGGATGGCTTGCTGAAGTTGCTGAACCAACTTGAGAATCTGAAGTGCCTGAACCAGATTTTGAGCCAGGCCCTGATGCCTGCAGCATGTTCTTGAACCAGTTGGCTGAGTCCTTGGGGTACCGTTTGAGAGTAGTGAAATCAACATAGACAATGCCGAACTTTGATGTGTAACCTGACAGCCACTCGAAGTTATCGAGAAGAGACCATGCGAAGTACGCAACCACATTTGCACCATCGTCGATGGCTTTCTTCAGTTCAGTGAGGTAGTTCTTGTAGAACTCAATCCTTTCGGTGTCATGCAGGAACTCTTCACGAGTGAGATTTCCAGATTGATCCATTCCTGGTACCATGACCATAAATTTTTTTGAGAAATGCATGGAAAATTTTGAATTAAAACTAGATAGGTAGTTTGAAAATACCATTTTCAGATATGATGATTGTTGGATTATTATACTTCTCCTTTATGTAGTTCACAGCTCCATACATGCCAGTCGGAACGATATAAAGCCAATTAGAGTTTGCCTGCACGAAATAATGCATGGTAAGAGATTCTCGTCTTAGCCACACTTGCTAATCTTGTAGCATTGATAAGAAACTAAAATTGAATGTGGCAAGAGGAAACAACTATACCTGCTGTCCAATTGGTACGCCATTTCGTTGAACTGTAAAATTAAGTAGAAAAGGATAAATTTAATGATATCTTGAGTACTCTATTGGTTTATATTATATAATCCTTAATTATAAGTTGGGAACTTACAGATAAATGAAACATGCCAATCAGATGAGTAGCTAGTTGCTGCTTGCTGAGGTGCTGGTTGGTCTGCCATGTAGTTAGCAGTATATTGATTGATCCCAAAATAATCTGCGGAGCCCTTGACTAGCTTAGCTTGTTCAGGCGTGAAAGTAGGTAATCTTTCTTTCACAATATCTCGCATATTTTTTGGATATTGTCCATTTATTAACGGATCAAGAAACCTGAATTGAAGTAGTTGATTTTTATCAGCATCGGAAATTGTATCAAACAAAACCTTTAACTTTGTCACATGTTACTTCTATGGTCTTACCAACCAACATGGAAGTCTCTGGCTCTTTGAGCTGCTGCTTGGTCTTCAGTTGAGTTAGTTAGAGGTTCATACCAATTAAAATCGAGAACTATTCCGATCTTGCCTTTCTGACTTGCCTAAATGTTTAAACATATATTCTATTATGATTGAATAATATGACCTTACATGACAAGCAATATATGTGACATATATGGCATGCTCCTAGAACTACTTTCACTAAGAAATACATGTGGTACTTTTGCTTAAAAAATACATATGCTATTGCATTGTCCCAAAATGCAGATAGTTCGGGCACAACTGTTCTGGCCACATTTATTACAGCAAACTACTTTCACCAATTTCATTGGCATGCATGATTCACAAGACTAGGCAAACAAATATTCTGAATTTGCAGCCATAAACAATCCCCTTTGAATTACTAGTGAGAAATATTGTAGACAAATCATTACAACATCATTAGACTGTGCGGAAAATATATTTTGCAAGAAGATGTGTTTGCGCTTTTGTTGATTCTGTTATCAATACTGCCATTGTATTTTGCATGTCCCATACAAAATGTCATTAAAATAAGCTAGCTTAATAGAATACTACTCCGTCCCAAAATCTAACTTTTAGAGTTCAAATTTTGTCCCAAATATTGCTGCAACCTAGTACTTGTAAAAGGTGATTTTTACCACTAAACTAGCCACACTACCCCTTAGCTTCATTATCATCTCAACTAGTCCAGGCCCACACCCCACCCACCCTGAGAAGGCAAACAAGTCTTTTTACCCCTTCCCTTAATAACCGTGCCAAGGGTTCAAACTTGCTATACTTTGGGACGGAGGGAGTAAAGAGTACAATAATGCACTCATGACTCATCTGCGGTATTAAAGGAAGAGGAAAAAGAAGATGATGCATTTTGACCATAGTAAAGGCTTTATGTTGAAAATTAGCATGTGGGATCAATTTCGATGATAACTGTTGCCCATCGGATGGTAAAGACGTGAGTACAGACTATCATTTTGAGCAGGTATGCATTATAAACCACCCTAAATTAATCCAAACAGGTTGGTTTAACTGTTGAAGAGATATAAATTGCCATGTTACTAACAACGAAAGAGTCAATCTAACTGTTTCTGTTTCTTTATTCTTTAGTAGAAAGAAAATACCTGGAACTTGTTACGGTATCTATCAACTGCAGTAGCATGAGATAAGATGATATTATGAGCAACAATATATGGCTCTGTTGCTGAGTTCCCACCGGCAGCACACTTGGTGCATCGGTTAGGTGGGTCTGTCCCTGTATCATGGCCAAGTGCTGCTACTATCCTTGGCTCATTAAACGTAAACCAGTTCTTGACTCGATCGCCATATGTCTTGAAACAAAACTCAGCATAGTCCGAAAATACACCACTGCAAAAAAATGAAGAAAAATTATACGTGCTCCTTGCACAGACTGTGACAAGTAAATATGTTATATGCACCTATATTGCAAAATGCAAACTTGATATTTTGTCATAGTTTCGAATTTCATTTTCTTCACAAATGTAAATTTGATCATTCTGAAGAAATCAACTGTTAAGCCATTTCTGCTTTCATAGCACCTTATAAAAAACACCTCTCAGCTCTCCTGCACACTGTAACAAAAATAAGTGAAAAAATGGCTGGTGCAGAAAACCTTGTATTTATTAAAAATTAAGTCCTGATTATACAGATATAGAATTGTGACAAGATCATATGTTTTATCACCATATAATTAGCCTAAAACGGAAAGGCAATACCAATAGATAAGTGAGTGAAAACATTAAAAAAAAGAATTGGCATGTACGACTTACACAATTTTTGGGCTTAACCAGCCTTCATACTTTTTCTGAAGTGCAAGTGGGAGATCGTAGTGGTTCAGATTGACGTAAGGAATAAGCCCTGTTAGTTTTGATAGAAATATTCAGACAGTAATATACTTATGTTGGCAAAACTCAAACGTCGAACAATATGTCTGAAGTTATACCTTGCTTAATTACATAATCTATTAGATTATTGTAATATGCCACACCTTCCGTGTTAACTTTTCCCTCTCCATCTAAATAACCAAAATGCATCAGTGGAATTCATCCTCATCCAGCTAACCAGTACAAGTAGATGCTATAGCCAGAGCCATATTTTTATTTACCAGGGAAAATCCTTGACCACGAGATTGAAAACCGATATGCATCGAAATTCAGGCTTTTCAAGAGATCAACATCTTCCTGTGCTAGCAAGAAGACAATGTAAGTAATTATCTTCTTTCAGAAAAAAAAAGTAAGCAATTATCAAGCTGCCGAAATTCATTATTGATTAACTTGACTCAAGATTTTTCTACAGTAAGTATTCTCTAATTTCCTGAAAACATAATTGCCAAAGCAGCATGGCGCTGTGAGCTAAGCTTCGCCAGATCAAGGCCAAACTTGAGCCTTGCTCACAGCCCAATAAAGTATAAATACACTATAAGGTTGTGCTTGCTTAAGGTTGAAAACAAATATGGATATCAACTACACAAACAAAACCATTCCAGTTTTGCTATACATTTGCTGACAAATTTTCTCCCAAAAATTTGACAAATGTAATATAGTGTAATCGAATCGTATTGTAATTACATCGTAACTGCATGTAACTACAATACAACTTGTATGTAAGTAAAATCTTACGATAACATGCTATTTTCACGAAGCGATCCCCTCACTTGTGTGTGCGTTGTGATTTTTTTCTTCTCCGCTTGCATGAATATTAAAGCAAATCTAACGTTTTCAAAATTATATGAAAGTTACTGCATACCAGTTACATTGTAGTTATATGTAAATTATAATGTAATTACATTACTATTATATTATATTTGAGAAAAATTGTCAGGAAATGTATAGATAGTCCCAAAGCATCCTCATGGACAGGAAAATTGCGATCTACTAATTGACTGACAAAACTAACTGCCTTTCAATACTATATGTAGGTGAAACAGGAGCAAGAAAAAAAGAACAGAAGATAGTCTCAATTGATCTCATTTACCTTGTAGCGATGATATTCATCTGTAGTAACATCTGCATTCCCATTTCCCGCAATATTCCCTGTTCATCCGGAAAAAAACAATGTCAACATCACGATTTTTTTTAAGATAATGATCCACGAATTTAATATCATCCAATCAGATGAGCTGATTCTATCCCCCATTCCCTCAAACTCGTTAAGCCAAATTGGTATCTGAAAATTCGAATATTCTCCACTACTCAGCTGAACTGTCCAAAATCACGCTTTGTTCCACGAGTCGCTCACCAGAATTAATCCTCGAAGTATTACCATGGCCGGTAATAATCTTGAAAGGAGAAATGGAACATGAACAGAGAACGCGAGAACGTGTAACGCAGTAACCCAGTGAGAGCTCACGCAGGATCTAGTTTACCAGCAGGATTAGTTAAGCACGGTTCTTGTAAACTCGCGGTGCATGTCACCTGGGGTGTGGACGAAGGGGTCCCAGATGGACGGCCCGCGGCCGCCGGACGCCGCCATGCCCTCGACCTGGAATGCCGACGTCGCCGTCCCGAACACGAACCCCTTGGGGAACGCGGCCCGGCTCAGCCCGCCCGTGTCGTCGTCCGCGGCGCGGACCCGGGCCCCGGCACGGTCGAGCACGACCAGCGCCACGACCACCACCAGCAGCCGCCGCCACCCTCCCCCCGGGAGGTAATGCGCCGCCGGAGCGCAGCCCATCGCAGCAGCAAGCCAGCAACCCAAAGCTCCCAGCCGCCGCCTCAAGTCACCTCACTCTCTGAGTCTCAGTGAACGAGTGCTGCGAGTGAAGCGGTCGGTGGAAGCCAGCGAGTTTTTGTCAGCACGCGGGTTTTGGGTTTTGAGTCTTTTGACGTTTTTTTTTTTCCGGTGTTTTTCACCGTACTGTGGCCCCCGGTTTCGGCACGTGATGTGATCCCCGCCATCGGCCATCCCCGACGCTTTTTCTGAGCTTTTTGGTCGGTGGGTGGGTTCGCCAGGTTGGTTCCAATCGGATTGGATCGGAGGGAGGCAGGTACGGCAGGCAGCGCCGCGTGCGTCGCGGAGCCAATGATGCCGGCGTGGGCCGCGGGTCGTGCACCGTGTGCTCGAGTCCTCGCGAGCGACCAGCTGTGACGCACCACGGTGGCACCGTCCTCCTTGTCTCGGAATCGGACGGTAGATTCTCACAGCTTCGCTCGGTTAATTCCTGGTCTTTTCTCGTATGATGGTAGAAAATGTGGCTCGGCTTCGCCAAGCAGATGCGACTTGGGACTTCTGAAGTCTGAACTCTGAACACATGCGTCTCTAGCTGTTTTCCTCTACACAAATGGAGGCTTGACATGGGTTCTTTAGTGACATAACCAACCCTATGGTAACTAAGAGCCAACCATACATATACATACATGTATATCTATTAACACTGGGATTGGGAAGTGACATGCATCAGGACGTACGCAGTCGTCATCTGCCGGCGGAGAGCTCGATGGCTTCCTGGTTGAAGATGGAGTCCTCGCCCCAGTCGAAGCGCTGCTGCATCCGCTCGTAGTCCTGCCGCCGCGTCACCTCCACCTGCTGCCACTCCTCCCACCGCTCCGCGAGTCCTTCCCCTTCCAGCATCCGCACCACCTCCGACATGGACGGCCGGTCCTCCGGCGACGCCTGTGTGCACAGCAGCGCGATCTGTATCATCATCTCCACCTCCTGCCCGTCGTAGTTGCTGCTCAGGTTCCGGTCCACGATGGCGCCCAGCTGCCCTTCCCTCTGCAGCTTCTTCACCTGCACATTTTCAGCAGCAACCAGCAAGCATGATCATGACACTGATGATTCAAGCGGTGCAGGCTTCAGAATGAATATGATGTTCAATGAGAGCAACAATTATTTTGTTTTTTTTCTTTTCCTGCTGATTATAGCCTCTCATGCTGTATTTTTATAATTTTTCTTGCTATATCAGTATGAAATTTCGCACTATCTGGCACAGTTAGTTTCAAAAAAAATTCGTTCAATTATGTCAACACATGGCTATCAGAGGCTAGGATAATTTTGTTCCAGCTTCGCAAGAGTAGACTCACATGGTCAAGCAGTAGCACATCGTCTTCTTCCTCCAACCGTGAGAAGTCGATGGCGCGTTGTCCAGTGACCAGCTCAAGAAGCATTATGCCATAACCAAAAACATCAGTTCTCTCCGATGACTTCCCTGTGGACAGATATTCAGGCGCAATGTGACCCATAGTTCCACGGACTTGAGTTGTCACTGATGTCTTCTGTACATCAACCAACTTTGCCAGGCCAAAGTCACCAACAACTGGCTCAAAATCCTCATCAAGCAGGACGTTGGCAGCCTTGACATCTCGATGTATGATCTTGGGATTACAGTGCTCGTGCAGGTACTCCAGTCCACGTGCTGTGCCTATTGCCACACGTTTCCTTGCTGACCAATCCAATATTGGTTCGCCAGGTTTGAATTCTGCATCGTTAAACACAATGAGGTACATATTGAAATCTTCCAATATTGAATCTAAACATAAGAAAGTGAGCATATGCGATGTTGAAATCAATAGTGCACATGCACCATATTACCCAACAAGCGTAAATTAAAAGCACTACAAGTATCAGTTGCATAATCCATAGGCACAATAGTGAAGTATCCGAGAAACTTTATAGTACAGTAGTAGAAGCATAAAATTGGAAGAACGAAACAAATTATTGATCAGTTATAGAAAGTACCTCGTAAACGATAGGCCACACTAAGATTCTGCATGAAAGGATAAACAAGTAGACGTTCTGTTTGTGTTGTACAGAAGCCAATCAATCTTAAAAGATTCCGGTGAACTGCAACACTGATAAGCTCTACTTCACGCAAGAATGCAGCCTCCCCACCAGGGCTTTCATAATCTGTCAACCGCTTTACAGCAATCTTAGTGCCATCTGGAAGTGCTCCTTTATACACTTTACCGAAACCCCCCTGTCCAAGGACATTTTTCTCACTGAAACTATCGGTTGCAAGTTGTAATTCTCGCCAGGCAAATCTTTTCAACTGACCAAATGCAATTCTTCGATCGTCCTCGCCTGGGGACATAAGTTACAGATTAGTTAACTAAAATTACTCTTGACTAAATGTAAATGCAGCCTATGCATATCCTAATCCTAAATTTGTAAATTGAAACGCTACCTTAGAAACAACCTTCCATATCTTTTATCAGAAAATTACTGAAGGTGCTAAACACTTGACAGCTTTGCATATTGCATGCTACTTTTTTTTTCTTATTTTGCCATAAATTTTTTTGACCAAAATACTTCACCAAGATTATTTATTAAACATGGAGCAGTAAGCGAAACTGCCAGTAAAAATAGCTGTGTTGACATACACAACCTGGAAACCATAGTTTAGAAATAAACCAACATGTGTGAGTTATCTCTGCTTGCACTGTTTTTGTTTTGGGGGTCGCATGATAAAATTTTGCGGCATAATTTACATCTTTGTTTCAATAAAATAATAAACAAGACTGTAGGAAAAGGTTTAGTTGAATGAATGGATAGAAAGAAAATCATGAAGTAAAATACTACCTGATACATCGACAAAAACTTCTCGTAGATGGCTTTTCCTCCTTCCATTACAGACAATAAACACAGCCCCTATTATAAGTATCCCTATTGCTCCTACAACTGTTCCGAGTACAATGCCTACCTTTGAGCCATGGGATGAACCTATTAAACAGATAGAATTAGCATATTCCAGCGAAAATTCTGACAGGCATCCAATGGATGCTGTATGACAGATGTGCAATGTTGAACAGGGAAAAAATTGCTTCCTACCTTGATAAGAAATACTTGATGAGCATGGATGCAGAAAGTTTGCTCCACAAGTCAAGTTATTACCAGAAAAGCTGTAAAGAAAATTAACATTTGTCAGAACTCAAAGCTCAAACTTGAAAAAACATGAGTATACAAGTCACAGTGATCCAACAGTACTTGTAACGTGCAACTTGAAACAGCGAACCAGGTATTGAACCAGAGAGTTTATTGTAGGCTAACCTACTGCAATCATAAGAAAAAAAATATGTTAGTCAAATAATTCAGGCATGGACTGTTGTCAACAGAAATCATGTATGAGTCCTTGCATGTCTGTCAAGCTTGAGATTCTTGCTACAGTATCAGGTATAGTTCCGTTGAGATTGTTTTGACTTAGTATCCTGTTTAAGAGATAAAAAGGTGAGCAGGTTAAATCATTATACATTCATAAAACAAAGGACTAAGGTTCAAGTACATACAGAATTTGGAGCTTTGAAAGCTGGCCAAGAGAAGCCGGTATTGGTCCAACCAACAAATTGTCTTCCAAATCCAAACTTGTCAAACTAGATAGGTTGCCGATCTGCTCAGGTATGCCACCAGTAATCTTATTACCAGGCAAGGACCTGCAATGACATGCACTACAGTGGTTAGCAAAAACTGGAGTCTAAGACCACAGTACATGGTAACTAAGACAACCAAATCTTTGGGCAGCAAGCACAGAAATAGCTAACAGTTGGCACTTCTCACATAATACCAGCTTCTGGTTTCCTCTAGGATCACAGTAGCTATTTCATCACAACTACCACCAAATATCTGAGAGAAATTCCAACAATCAACACAAGTACACTTACAAAACATTCAAAAACTGAAGCTCTCCAATTCGTGGTGATAGAACTCCAGTGAATCCCATAGATGCCAATGTTCTGCAGGAGGGCATCTGTCATCAGGCACACCAACTTGGAACAAACAAAAAACCTAGATATGGAACATGCATAACGGGGTCAACAGAACCATCTAGATGTTGTTTTGCCAGAAATAACAGATGGTGTGAAGAAGATTTAAAGAAACAGCATGTTGTATGATTTTTCCATTTTCATATAGTTCAATTATGAAATGTGCTCGTGCATCAAAGAAGTGCAGATAGCATGTGCAAGTGCATCAAAAAAATCATAATCATGTGCTCAAACAGATGCTTCTGGAGCTCACTGGTAATGAATGTGGAACATAAATCAAGAACTATTATGCCATATAAGTTTAAGAGATACGTAAATATAGAATTAACTCAAAATGGAGAGAAAATAAAAGTGAAGCAAAACATCAACAAAATAAACTTACACTTGCACAACATTGTAGTTGTTGTCACAAATAACAGAATTCCAAGTGCATGGGTTAACTTGATTTTGGTTCCAGTCAGAAAGCTGGTTACCAGTAGCATTCAGCTTCAGCTTCATATCATATAGTGCATCACCTAAGGAAATAAAAGAAATTTATTTATTACCCAAAAGTATTTGCAAACTCATGATTGTGGAAGCACTCCAAAATAGCTTGAATAACTACATAAATGATAGGCATGTAAATAAACCTTGACGGTCAGATGCTGAAAATGGGAGCAGAGATGCTATAATTAGGAGGACGCTGAGCAGATCCATGACTCTTCAGTTATAATTACAGCATCAAAAGAGTTCCTTGGGGAAACTTGCCCGGCGAAAAAAAGTACACGAACTGATCATAGTAGTATAATACCGGAGTCCCTGGCTAACCCAGTTAACAAGCAAGCCAGTCCAGTATGGCACCTATAAGATAGACAAAATATTATTGGATAAGAAAAGAGGTTCATACAAGATTGAGTGATAGGCAAAGCAGAATTTGTAGTTACTGTTATTATTATACTATCTGTTCACTGTTATGCTGTTAGTTATGCTGAAAAGCAAAAGTTGCCTTGAAATGCACAATTGTTTCATCGGTATACTAAAATAGAGGCTTGAATTCATCACAGCAAAACGTACTAGAATTATTATTTCCAAAGAGAACGCATGAAACAAGCAAAACTTCCGTTCAAAAAAAAGGAAGCAAAACCAAGCTCCCAATTATGCCCCCAAACCAAAAGGTCGCCATGGTTAAAAATATCTAAATTTGCCTAACAAATCAAAATATCTGAACATGCCCATACAGCACATAAACCTTCTAATTTTTAGTATGTCAGCACCACTAAATTCTCTTGCTATTAAAAAAAAAAGGAATATTAGCAAGACTCAGATATTCTAGAAGCTATCATGAAGAACTACATCCATTCAAAAAAAAATCATGAAGAACTACAGACCTGATAGAATTAACCAAAACGTTCCCAGAAGCAGCACAACTGTGATCCAGTGATCCCTCCCAGTGAGAGACGGCACCAAAATTAAACCCACAATTCGAATTGAACAAACTCTTTAAACACCAGAGAGAATCAGAGATTCAGCCTCTCCAAATCTGATCCTTCTCTTACTGCTTACCTCCAGCACTTCCAAATTCCAATTCACACACACACAGACAGTGAAGACTGAAGAGAGAAGCACGTACTACCTACCAGTGGCTTGCCCTCGCAGGCTGGGCAGCAAGCAGGTCGTCGCAGGTCCACGCCGCCTCTCCCACTTCACCTCCTCACCCCGCCGCCGCCGCCGCCGCCGCTGGCGCGCGGGTAAAAGGCGTGGGTGGGGCGCTGCGCTGGAGCAGTTGACTCGAGGAAGCAGCAGGAATTGACCGGTGCTGCCGGGGCGGAGCGCGTGCGGCCATTTTTTTTAGGCGCGACGCAACTTGGTTGGTTAGGTGGATCCCCCTCCTTTTTACCTCCCCATCTCTGGATAAGACGGAATTCGGCGACCTTCTCCTCCGGATCGCATCCGATCATTGGATGCGCGCGGTAGCTAGCTTTACCTTTATCGCCTTTTTTTTATCCCCTCTCGCGTGGTTGTCTTGTCCCGTACCGGACCAGCCTCCAGTGTGCTTTTGCAGATTCCACCAACGAAAAGAACGAGCATTTCGCTCGGCGTCCGCGTCTGCGGTTTGTGCTCGGTTTGTTCGGTGTTTTCGTCGGTCAATGGGGCATGCGGGGTTGGGGGGGGGGGGGGGGGGGGGGGGGGGGGGGGGGGGGGGGGGGTGGGGGTGTGGGGGCGCTCTTGGTGTGGACGGCGACATGGCGCTTTCGCGCGCACGGTCGTCGCGTGCGCTGGCCCGTCCAATCATCGGGTGAGTCTCTAGTCTTCGCTCGGCGGCGAGTGGTGGCGACGTGCCGGGGCTTCTACTCTTCGTCTCTTCCCCGATGAGATATGCTAGTTTTTTTTTTCTGTGTTTAGTTCCACATTTAAACTGAAAGTTTAACTAAAATTAAAAGTTTGAAGAAAAAAGTTGGAAGTTTATATATGTAAAAAGTTTTGATGTGATGAAAAAGTTGAAAACTAACCCAGACCCAGGTTGGAGGCGCGGGGTTAGCACAGAGATTGCTCAGGGCTGGCAGCTGTTGCAGGCAAACTCGACAGCCACACGTTAATTAACTGCAGTGCTGCACGCTGCAAGACCTCGGCCTACTGCATCATAGTACAAAATCTACTCTGAATAATGGCTGCTGCTTATAATAAATTAATCAACTTCATGGATCATTCTGTACATGGAGAGAACTTGAGGCATCTTGTTTATCCAGATTACAGATTATTGTAAGCTTTGGACTGCTATAAGAAAATAAATATTAACACTTGCTATACTAGTGGAGTCGCTTCTTAAAGCCCTCTACTCGTGCAAACTGGAGTAGCTGATTAAAAAAAAGTGTTCTTTAGCATATGGATTTTACTTTTACAAGATGTATGCATATTGCAAAATAAACTTCCAAATTGCGCTTAGGTGGCACCGTGGCATGTCCGTTCTTCTTGATTAAACTTTTAGCCATTCCCCGGGATACACGGCACCCGCCTTTGTTTTCTCTACTTTCTTTGCCCTTGAGTCGCCCTGAACTGATTTTTCAGAGAATGGAGCTATAACACCTGCGAAGCTTCTGTCCTTGCTCCTTCTGCAGCAAAGTTTGGATTAATTTCATAATATATAGGAGTATTAGTGTTCAGTACACCAAACGGCACACGACGATAATTTGATACTGTGGTACCATTACCTGAGATGAGCTATGAAGAACACTGCGCCGACAAGTGTAATTCCTCCAGCAACAGACTTTAGCATCCCTTTCCCTGATTTGGGAACATCATTCTCATTCATTTGAGCAGAGCTGTCATTTTCAGCTTTATATTCTGATTCCACCTGTTTATCTTCTTTTTGGGAAACGTCCTGGATGCCAAAGAAATGTTAAAGCGTGTTTGCTGTACATGAGACAAAATGATGACTATGTTAAAAGTAGTACTAGCATACACAGGTTTGGCATTTCAGGAGGTACCGTTTCATTCCCACAACGGAATTCGAGTTCCAGCCCTCGGCATGCACTATCATCTTCAGAAACTGCTGGCAATTTGCCACAAGCACTGTCTATTGGGGTTAAACTCGAGTATGGTGTACTGTCGCAATTTGAACATACAGACTCCCCATCACAGGCAAGCAGATCACATTGTTGATCAAAGGTGACCTTTTGGAGGGCATCGCTTTCTTTTTCGGGATCGTTAGCAAATCTTTTCCCATTTCCGTTAAGAGGCTCGAGATGTTCGCCATGAGTCCTTTTAGCCTTGCTGCTGTCAACTACCAAATGACTGCTTATGGAATCTGACTCTTCTGAACTTAATGAACACCTAATTGTTCTAGTTCTTGAACACTGGTCAGTTGGAGATTCAATACAGCAATATGATTCATTTTTGTGAAATAAAGGAGTTGAACCAACAGAATCAGATTCCATATTGCCGAAATCAATCGATCCAACTGATTCAGACAATGACTTCTCTTCATGCATACCATGCTCACTATCTCCATAGCCTTCCTTTTCTTCCTTGGGCATGTTGCCCGATTTCAAAAGTGTGGAAATATTGTCTTCACTGACTGAGTCCTCAGGTTCTAATGCAGAGAGCTTACTTTCAGCTTCATCAGAATCATAATGTGTTTCACATTGTTGATCATTCTCTGCACCAAAAACTCTCTGGAAATATATATCAAAATTAATGAGTTGATTGTTTTAAACAATGATAGTATTGACTTAAAATAAAGGATCAATTAGCAAGAACATGCCAATAAAACTGATCCTTTCTCCCCAAAAAAAAAAACTGATCCTTTCAAATAGCTTACCTGCTGATTTAATGCCTTAGAGTTGGCACTTGGACTGTAACCACTTGAACCAGATGAACTACATTGTGGTTGCTCCAGACTTCTCCGGATGCCTCCAACAATGTAGTTGGGCATGGCTATTGTATGAGTGACAATATCAAAATCAGGCACCTGTCACCAGAGAGCAGAAACACACCAATTAAATCTTTCAGGATGTGTATTGTGCAATGATTAGCTGATTGAATTATTTTTAATAAATGGTTTCATAAGAATCTAGGGCTTACAGTCAGGCGCATCGTCCGAGCCTTCTTAGATAGCAAGCGTATGCACATACAAACTTTCCGAACATTTCTTTTCTCAACCACATCAGAAGGGGTAAACAAATCAATTCCAGCTAACCCGAGAATTTGACATATCTGGAAAGGAAAAATATCATATCAAGCCACCTTTCAGAAGGGAAAACAAACATCAAGAAAGTAAAAGATATGGGAATGCTATCAGAATTCAGAAGCAAGACAGCCATCCAGATTCAGCATGTACTCTGCACATAAAAAATGATTTCGATCCAATTTATAGAAAGTAAAGCTTTGTTAAGAATATTTGGAGAATCTATACCAGTTTCTCGGCTAGAATAGAAATGTTTGACACCATTAACAAGCACTCTTTCAATGAAAAGAGAAAGAGTAAATGTATGTGTGATGGCAAAAAAAAATCCCATGAATTCTTTCACTCTACTGTTATCCAAATTAATGCGCTTGAAGTTGAATCAAGATAGTAACTAAAGTAAGCTGCTAAGAAGAGAGCATCCAATGGTCAATACCTTCAAAAACGAGTCAACTTTTGGATAGGGCATGTATTTTCCATTGCTCTTACCAGACGATGTTCTCTCATAAATATACACCTTGGATTGCTTCATTTGTTCTTTGTTCATTCTCACAAGCCTTTTCCACAGTACTTTGGAAACTTGAAATCTGTCAACATGCATTAAACAAGTAAGCCATTAGACAGCCTGAAAAGAGATTTAGAGCCTGGAAAGGAAACACAGGGAGAGGGCTGTCTTTTTATTCTTCCCAAAAATAAGAGAATAAATATGATAGTAATTTATTTCATTGCTCCTCTAATTAAGAATTACCTTCAGTTGTTTCAAGATAGAACATATCTAGAATAGGAAAATGTAAAAAATGTAATATAGAACTGAATTGCTTGCTGCCCAACAATAAATTGTATCATTTGCCAATTATATGATTTTTTTCTGGGTAACACTTTATAGTGGAAACATAAGCCTAATTACTAATTCCATATAGCCAAAACTACCTATCATTTGAAGTATAGTATTCGTCACTCTGATCCTATATTTGTGTAATTTTACCATGTACAATTACAGCATTGAAACTTTATAGTGGAAACTTAAGGCTAATTACTAATTTCATATAGCCAAAACTACCTATCATTTGAAGTATATTAGTGACTCTGATCTTATATTTGTGTAATTTTACCATGTAGAGTTACAGAATTGTAAATTCTTACAAAAGCCAACCAAGTGACACCAAGTATCAGGATTGCATGCTAGACAGTACTATAAATACAAATAAAAAACACTGCATCTATTGTGAAGAACCTAAATCTTACAGTAACTCTCCATCAGCAAGAAGGTCTGCAACTATAACGGCTTCATCAAACCTAAGATGGAGAACTTCACCAAGCCAGATTTTTGTCTGTGTCTGAAAGAACATAATTGAACTGAGAAATCAGGATAATAAGGATGACTAAAAGTATGATAAAGGTGTAATTGTAGGCTTTTACTTAATAAAGGTGTAATTGAAGGCTTTGAGATATTTCGGGGTTGCCCCGCTTGTATGTAATTAGAAGTTGTTCTGTATATATGTTGTAGTGCGCCCTGTGCTCTGTTGCTTGGCATGGTAGGAAACAAGATATATTCTTGCACTCCTTAATATACTCCGGCTGGCGACTTTGCCAGCCCGGCGAAAAAAAATATTGTAAAAATTGGTAGCAGGTACTGACCTGCCTAAACGACCGATAATGCATCTGCATTGGTAACTACTCCTATACAGTAATAAGTAAGGTAACCATATCCTTTATACAGATCAGTAGACCCAATATCTATAAGACTGTTTATAATAGATGGGTGATAAGCAAAAGAAAAGGTTTAATATGTTATCTTAAATAAGGATATCAGATGATCTTCGTAATCACCAATTCCTGAAGAAAATAATATAGAAGTACAGGGTTGAGAGTGACAGTGTACAAATTATGAACAACTGTAGTTGTGTCCAGGATATATATTTGTACCATAACACTGTGTGCAATATAACTTAGTATATGTTTGCAAGTAATAAAGTTAGATACATCCCATTCAAAATTTGATGTTTAAGTTTAAGTGTTTAACAGATCTTAAAATGTCGAATGGAATGTATATCTCATACTTATCGCTCACAGTTTTTAATGAAAAAAAATGTAGAGTAAACCTGAAAGTTTGTGGTCCAAATATACTCCTTAACATCCCAAACTATTGCAGTAGCTACAGTAGTACGTAGTGGCTGCATTCATGTCTTTGACTAACTTTGTGTAATTTCTTGTAAGATAAATATTAAAGCACATCATTGTAATCTTTTTGCCAAGTACGTTGAGCACCACACAAGGACTAAGTTAACAATATTATGTAAAGTGATTCCAGCATTGGCCATTTCGGTACTCGACAAATGAGCAACAGCTGCTAAGACTGGTAACATAATAAATTTATCAAAAGATACTTCAACATGAGCTAATCAATACCAATACCATTCAATTCTACCTTTTATACCATTTTTCAACTCTGGCTCTGAAAAAACCTAGGAGGATATGAAATGCAAGTAGGAGTACAAAATAACCCTTTGCCCTAGAAAAGACAAAGAAAGAGTTGAAAAGAATCTTGTACAACCATGACCACACAGAATCTTGTCAACTAGTAATCCATTCTCGTTTGCCCCCCTGCAACTTCCTCATATATTACTTATTTTTAAGGGGCAATTGCAAATTTACCACTGCTTTGAATCGTTATTGCAAGACTGCCACTAGAAAATTGCAAAAATGCCATTAGAATTGTCATTCGAGTGGCATCCTTGTAAAATTTAAAAAAAACGGTGGTAAATTTACAAATGGCCCTTTTTTAAATACGCAAGAGGCTCGCTTATTATTGAAAAATGAGAAAAATCTAGACAGAATCTAACGACTAATTTTGCGATAAAAAGGACGGCGAAATGCAGTAAAGAACTACTCAAACTTCTGAAACTCCTGCACCAGCACAACTGCTTCTTCAGTGATTTCTTTGAAGAGCTGCCACCATGTTCTTCTTGAAAACTCTACTATCAATGAAAACAAGAGCGGCAATGGTGTCGAAGCCTTTGCATCTTCACAAATCCTCTCGCCGTCGTTCTGAACTTCTCATACTAGAAAAATGAACAACATGAAATGCCTGATACTGGATTTTGAATTAGCTAAGAGGAGAGAGCAATCACACGGCAGTTTAGTAACTTCAGAAATCAACCCGCATATGCCATTTGGAGTCCGTGAAATCAGAGAAACCAATCCTAAACATCTCGCATATACAACATGCGGATGGAAAACCCGAAACAGATAGCATCAAGCCATGAACTCATTGAAGGCAGCTCGAATCACTGGAGCATCTCCGGCGCCCATTGGAGAGAACGGCGCCGACGAACGCCGGCCGTCGCCAACAGAGCCACCGGCCGGCCACGGCCTTTACTGTTCCATTAACCCGGACTCCGACGACCCGACTGAAGCACACACAAGATTTAGTTCAGTACACGGCGCATTTCGCCGGCACCGCGACCGACCTGGAGGAAGGCGTCGTCGAGCTCGCGGAAGCTGGACGCGGGCGACGCCTGGTCCACGCGCACCACCCCGCCCTGCTGCTTCTGCTGCTGCTGCTGCGCCGTCCTCATCGCGTCCCTCCGCCGCCGCCCGCCGCCGATCACGAAGCGGCCCGGCGCCCGAGGTGGCTCATCCCAGATAGATCCTCGGTCGCCGCGCTCGCACTCACCCCTGGAGCCTCGGTTTCCTCGTCTGCTCTGCTGGCTTCAGCGGCTAGCTATGGCGGTGGTGGTGGTGGTGGTGGTGCTCGTGCGTGCGTGCGTGGGGGTGTGGTTTGGAGGCGACGCCGCGGCCGCGTGTCGCGTCCTGCGCCGGATAAGCGCGGCGCTGCCCCGCGCATGCATTCAACTCCCCCCGGTTTTTAATTTCGCCGAGCCCCTGACCCGGGGGGGCGGCGCGGGGCGGGTGCATGTGGGGGTTTCGCCTGGTGCGGCGCGGTTGCGGTCGCGGGCGGTGGCGTGGCGTGCCGTGGCGTGGCGCGGGGCAAGCCGAGCCGTGCGGGGGCAAACCAACCCGACCAGGTGGGCTGCACTGCGGCAGGCAGGCCTTCGGGCGGTGGAGTCGTGGTGCCATTCTGGTTTGGGTTTCCGGGCCGAGCCAAAAGTAGCGGCGCGTTTTTGGGGTTTCGCTCGCGGGCGCGCGTGCGGCGTGCGGGCTGGGAGGCTGGGACGCGTACGCCTCGCGAGCCGGACAAAGTCGCGAGACGAAACGGACGCGGGGGGCGCCGATCGCGACCCGGCTTGGATCGTGGGCGCCCAGTTCGTGATCCGGCTCGTGTGGCCAGTGCTTCTCAGTAGTGACTGTTCTTTCGTGGTTGTGATAAGTGGTACGTGGGTGAGGTTTTGGAGTCGGTTTTGTGAAGGATTGTGATTTGCGAGTACTAGTAGTAGTAAGGTAGAGGAGTGCTGCGGTGATTGTTGAAACGGATCCGGTGAAGATGATGTTTACGGATCTTATTAATTGCGAGGTGAAATGTGTTGTGTGGTAGCAAACGTGAAACGTATCGAACTAACGAGGAAATCACACTTTTGGGCTCTTGTTTGGAGTATAAGTGTGTACATGCAGCCACCAAACAATGAGAAGGAAAACTCCCTATCACATCGGATGTATGTACACTAATTATAAATATTAAACTTTGACTATTAATAAAAACACATCTATAATCTTGGACTAATTCACGAGACGAATCTATTGAGCCTAATTAATCCATGATTAGCCTATGTGATGCTACAGTAAACATTCTCTAATTATAGATTAATTAGGCTTAAAAATTTGTCTTGCGAATTAGCTTTCATTTATATACTTAGTTTTGTAAGTAGTCTATATTTAATACTCTAAATTAGTGTCTAAATATAGGGAATAAAGTTAAATCCCTAGATTAAACACCACCTAATCTTTCTGTCAAAATTCAACTGTAACAAACTTACTCCAGCGAATGACGAAAGTAAATTGTAGTACTATTATTTAGCCTCTCAAAAACTGAAAGGTATACCCCGCAAAAACAAAAAAGAAACTGAAAGGTATACTAAAGTACAAAACGTCAATGTAAGAACAATCTAGTAACGGGTACTAGTATCTCCTAACCACCGTAATCGTGTATCATCAGCGAAAGCAGTCAAGCAAGCAACCTTCTCACTGCACTTTAGAGCAAGTATAATATAGGGCTATAAAAAAACTGAATGCTAAAATGGATAAGAGAGTAGAGGAGAGAGATAAGAAGTGGACTATAAGTTTACATCCGGTTTAGGTAGTACATGATACAAGAAAATCTGTGAAACAGACAGGTGGGCCATATATTTATAGTGGAGAGTTAACCACTGTATAAGTGAGCTGAGAGATAGGCTATAAAGATCTATACAGCGGCAACATATCCTATGCACATAGGCCCTCACGTGTACACACGTGCACACCAACTAAAAAATATCACCAAAAAATCTAGAAAAAATCATACACATACTTTCAATTGTATTACACCTAGGGTTAAAATCTTAATGTCAAATTCATTATATTTTAGCCGTAACAAAAAAACAAAAAATCTGTTGCAATTTTGTCAGAATTTTATCTTTTTTGTTATTCTCTATGTAGAATGAATTTGAAGATGCGACTTTGCACGTAGATGTAATACTATTGAAAGTACATGTATGAATTTTCCTAAAATTTTTTGTGATAATTTTTAGTTGGTGTACATGGTGTGTACACGCGAGGGCCTGTGTGCATAGAATACGCTCCCCTATACAGCAAGCAACTGGTTGTACTATTAGGGCACCCACAATGGTTATCTATAGGCTCTCTATAAGATATCCATGTCAGCATATTTTTCTAATTGGAAGAGATTAAATGAAGAGAGAGAGAGCAAAGCTATCTACTAACCTGGAGATAGTCTATAGAGAAAAACGAGGCAATGTATTAGAGAGCTATAGATACCCATGTAGACATACTATTGAGGTGGTTTACTATTAATCTAGTCTATTGCTGAGATGTACATGTTTTATAGAGAGCACCTTACTTTACTATCGTGGGTGCTCTTAGCCTTCTCTTAGGCAATAGCAATCTATCCTATTAACATAGGTATTAATGTAGAATCAAATGATAGGTTCGTAGTACGAGACTCAATCGATAATGCTTATATCCGTGAGATGGCAATAAGGTGGGATTCATAGGGTAAAAAAATCGACGCTCAAAAACCGCGGAATAGCAATAAGATGACAATATGGTTCAAATATGTAATACGCTACCACTACTAATACTAGTAGTAGTACTATATACTATTTTATTTTCAAGCACAGCCGGTTTTCATAATGAAATCGGCAAATAGCGTTCTAGTTAATCTCAAGCTTTGTCAAATATTTCACCCAAAATTTCGGAGCACGCGTGCGTAGCGCGTAGGGAACTCTTTGTCGCTCAATGCCAACTGAAGGTTGGTCAAGCACTCAAGCTTCGGTTCAGTGAAGGAAAACAGGAGCATTTTGTAGGTCATCTTTGACCACCCCTTAAAATTCAGATAGATTGACGCACGCAAGAAGCCGCCGAGGTCTCCATTTACTTTTCATGCATTCATCTCCATGTGGTTCTTTCCTTAGATCCCGCTTCATGTTCCAGCCATTATCACGCTCTCTTACCACAGTTGTTCTGATTTCTGAACCTATTCAGGAACAGAAATACGAGTTTTCAAAAAAAGAACAGAAATACGCATGCGAACATATTACACTGCACGAAAGAGACTTGATTTTTTTTTGAACGCCAAAAGAGACTTGATTTTGATCCCCAGTCCGGATGAGCAACGCCATTTCACATTCTCACGTGTAAAACGTGAGCTGAAACCTGCCAAAACTATTTCGAGTAGAGTAGACAGAAGTAATTTGTTGTGGAACAGTTCAGTTCTAGCAGATGCTGGCAAGACGTTAACACATACAAAATTTTGCACATGGATGATGACACCAGCCGAAAATCAATTCACACCCGCCAAAAATGGGAGAAAATCAAGAATTCTAGCTGAGTGCTTCAGGAGCAACAAACCAAAATAATGATGAAGTCAAAAATTTACAATGGCTTAAGCTCAAATACATTGCAAGCAATTCCATCTCCCCCCTACCAGGTCGTACAAAATCTACTGAATGTCTTCAACAAGAAAACACTCAAATATTCCCAGACCGACGCAGCAAGGTAATGCTTATCTCACTAGTCCTAACTGACTAAAATGCTAAACTATATCCTAAACAAGCCCAAGAAGTTCCTTTCTGGCACTGAGTGGGAACCACGAAGATCTACAAAACATAGCAAAACATAGGTGGTATGAATCAAATTTAACATTCTATAAAGCTGATACATGAAGCTTCATGATTCTTCTAGGCAACAACTTACTTGTTCATGAGCTCAGCAATGTTCTCAAAAACAGAAGCATGCCACAATCAATACGAGCTGATGGCAGGAGGGGATGCAGATTCAAAAGAAGCTCGAAGCGGTCTATTAACAAATGGGTGTGACATAAGTTGTGATGCAGAAGGCCGTTGCTCTGGATCAACTTGTACACACTGGCTAATGAAATCTTGAGCATCTTTTGACAAATAGCTGGGAATTTGAGGTCGTTCTCCTTTTCCAATCATAAAAAAAGCATTTGTCTGGAAATACCAAATCAACATAAGTGGAGTGCTTAAGATAAACTTGAGTTACAACCGAAGCAAGTTAAAAAGAACATTAGTTGAATTAAAGTAAATTTTAACACAAAATAATTTCATAGACTAATAATGCTATGTTCCCACAGAGAACAAGAAATAAAGGGAAGGCTGCCCGTCAGAAGAAGGTGCTATTTAACCAGAACTTTGCAGCCACAAGGTTATCTTTGGTTAGCAACTACAATTTACAATAGTTATACCTATCATATAATTTAGGATTGGAATGAAATAAAACAACAAATTTCCCTTATGCTGTCACAGAAGCATCCCAAAGTGGATGGGCAGCTCACACATCTCAGTATCGAATTAATTAAAGGTCCTACCCTTCATTTTACAGTCAAATAAAGATGAGTAAATTTCTCAAAACCATAGATACTTGTTAAACTTGCTGCACATTTTTATCTTTCCAAAGTGGTGTGTGAAACTACTGTGATAATTGATTGTGGCTTTGTGCATCTTAAATGCAGCTGGTTTGTACTTTATCCATTATCTAAGAAACGATGCTTGCAAAACTATCATAAAACTACAAATCAAGTCCCTGTCTTGCAAAAGACACGCACACAGATTTAGCACCAAATATATCACAAAAGTACAGATTTAAGGCATAATCTCAGAAAACTACAAATCCAGCGCCAGCTTTAACACAAAACTAAAGATTTCCCATACAGTGTATTAAATCTGTAGTACTTGTGATATTCATCTAAAAATATTTGTAGTTTCTTGAATTTTACTCAATAAAGAACATAAAAAGAGAATTGACATAAATTTAATGTTGTAATCAAACAGGGACTAACACATAAAAAGAGCATTAACAGAACTATAAACTTTAAAGTCAAAGTATGACATACCCACTCCACATTAGGATATGGTATGTTACGAGTAAGCATTTCCAATACAGTGCAGCCAAGACTCCAAATATCAGCCTGGGGCCCATATGTTTTTTTAGGATTAACAACCTGAAAAATAAGAAGTTGTATTTAGCACTTTCACAGTTTATGGCCAAGACATAAGTATCATTAAATAATGGAAAACAACATCATACTATTAGTCAGATCCGCAAGAATCATGATTAAATAAAAGTAAATAGCATAGGATAAATAAACTTTTACCTCAGGTGCCATCCAATAAACACTTCCTTTGCATGATCTCAGCATGTTAATTTTTGACATCTGAAATCCAACAAGAAGAAAATTACCACCGTAAGACAGCATCATAGATAAAGCACTAATATTCATACAAAAAAAAAAGCTAACCTCCTTCGCCAACCCAAAGTCTGCCAATTTTACTGATCCATTTGCATGAACCAGTATATTTGCGCATTTAATGTCTCTGAAAATGAAAAATAACAATTAGAAAATGTATCAAATGGAAACATCAACAATATCCGATGCAAAAACAAAATGACACACACGGTTAAGAATATAGCGTGATGCCTCATTTATTTTTTTTATAAATATTGTAAGAAGTTAGCTTGCCCAGTTTGTTACTACATCTGAACAGTCCAGAAAAAGGTGTGGTTTTCTAGGTTCCAATAAGAAACTCTTTTCGAGTCAGCAGGACATGTATAACCCCCAGGGCCCTGTGGTGCATGCCACTTTCTAGAGAAGGTGGAGCAGTTGATGTTCGTTTCAGACCAATATACTGACTTCAGGGAATGCAGATGTATCACTATTCGCATTTAAAATGTATGACAAATGAGCTCAAAAGACCACCTTTAGTTATCTGCAGCATCATAAGCATTGAATTATTTTCAATGCTAAATATAAGAGAAGCATCTTTATACCTGTGAACCACATTTCGCTCATGGAGATAAACCAATCCGTTGAGAATCTGCCTTGTGTATGCTGACACTTGTGAGTCTCGTAGTTTATACTTTTGATAGAGGGACGATAGAGAACCTTGTGTAACAAGCTCAATAAAAATGTACAGTTTTGATTCTTCCTGCATTAGAAGTGTTGAATGAATTACATGAGTAATGGACATCATTACAAACATACATGAATGAAAAAAAAAGTGTATATTGTGTATTGACTGCTTACATAAAACTATTTCTAGAACTGAATCAATAACTGAGTAACATCAAAAGAACAGTGGGGGTACCTTGTCAGTTCCATAATACTGGACTATATTTTCATGTTCAAACTGACTTAGGAGTGCAATTTCCTGAGAACCCAACAACTCAAAATTAGATAGTTTCAGAAGATGCCAAAGCATGTCAAAGCGGTACAATATAGTAAAGACAACAGTACAACATTAGAACAGTGGTATTCACAATAAAAATCAACTGTAACAGATGAAGAACCGCAGCAAAAAAACCTGTTCAAGTGCAAGAATAGATTGTTGTGCGTTGCTTCCTTGGTCAAGCAAAGATACTTCCTTCACAGCAAAAAACGCTCCTTCACTGTAAAGACATTCAACACGGACATCATTCAATGTTTTTAAATACATCGCATGCTCTTCAAATGGTACAGCAACAAGAAAGAATAATATCCTTTACACTACTCTAAGCGACTAGACTGAAGTTTTAATATAACCAGGTGAAAAATATGTTCTATCTCAGTCCTAAGAACTTACAACCTGAAGCCATTAGGTTCCAATAATATTTCACTGTATATGCATAATCAAGTCTTCACAATGTTGCAACTTGCAGCTACCATGGTCCTTTCCTCATGACATTGTAGCCTTTGTAGCACAAATGCAAAATGCTGCCTATTTGAGAGTACTATAGCAAAGTAGTTGGGTACTACCGTTGTTGATTTTTATCAGGCATATTTTAATTTCAAAAAGTCTTCAAGAGTAAATTTTGAGCATGATTTCTCATAATCTATAAAACCAATATTGTACAAAAGCACTTTGAAATGTGAATCTGTTTGATATAATTTTTAGACATTAAATATACTTGTAATTTGACTAACTGTTGGTCAGAATCTACAATTTTTGACTTTTTAAAATCAAAATACTCCCAATCGAAATCAATGGCCGAGTATCAATCAAATTCAGTCATTAAAGGTCAGAGCATGTACTTTATGCCATTGTTATGACTGAAGGGATTAAGTCAAATAAAAATATTTTCTCCCTTCAGTTCTCATGGCATAATCATTCAAAAAATAAATTATGATGCAACAGTAAAACCTCCAGCGCATATCTGTCGACTGGCTACAGAAAGGGCAATCTATATGGACTGCTGAATGAATAATGCCCATACCCAAATTGCATTGACAAGTCACACCAGGACAAAAGAGTAGAAAATGTAGCACCAGGAGATAAATTCATACAAAATGTAGCACCAGGGCATAAGACTCAAGGAGCTGTGTTTTAGAATATTATAATCTCAGACCATGTCAACAATACGTTCCTGTCGTGTGAGGGAAATGATTTAACAACACCAAATCAATACATGGCAGAACTGTGCTGGGTTTTTCCTATAACTGGTCCCGTTCGTTGCTTCAAGTTGGAGCAAAATTTTCCGCGCATGCAAAACGAAAAGGCTCAATAACATACGATTAATTAAGTATTAACTATCATAAATTATGGATTTATTTGATTTTTTAAAACAACTTCTATATAGATTTTTTTTTTTTGAAAAACACACACCATTTAACAGTTTGAAAAGCGTGCTAACGGAAAACGAGGAAGTTCAAGGTTAAAGTTGAAGAAAAGAACTAAGCCACAGGTCTAAGGGCGACAGACATGGTATTCTTGTCCCACTCCCAATCACCCCAGTACCAACACACTACACAGACATTCCCAAATAAATATTTGACATTCTAGTATTCTACTTGTAGAATTCATTATATAACAGCATGCACTTCTAAGTTTTAGGTAATAAAAAAAAGAGCCTTGCCCATCTTCTAACGAGGGGATTGTTTGGACTAGCTAAGATTTATCTTTCATGAAAATAACTGTAAGCTAAGGCCAGCTATGACATAACAGTCTATTTTTAAAATATGCTTAAATTAGACAAAAGATTGCAGTACCCTGTGATAAGTAATACTAGTAGCAAAGATGATATGGGCAAACACCAAATAAAAACTAAAGCATTATTAGTACTTACTCACTGATGCCCTCATACACCATCCCAAATGAGCCGCTCCCCAGAAGAGCACCACGCATCCACGACTTAATCTTCCTCTTGAACTTTCCATTTGGTGAGATGATGAACATAGCCTCCGTAGTTGTGCTGGATGCATCATCATCATTTGTTGTTGACAATGATGATGTCCCAGTGAACCCTTCAAAGGTCTCTCCTATCCTTAACTCTTTCAGCTCCCCGTCCACCCCTGCCACTCCCTCGTCAGCAAACTCCTCCTCCTCCTCGGTGTCCGACATGTGAGACGCGTCCACGCGTTCATCATCTGTTCTCACTTCACTTTTCTCTTCACTGGGAGCAAACGAGTTCACAATATCCCAAGCCGACACCCCGCTCATGTCTTTAGCCACAATTGAACGCCTCATTGGCGGCGGTGCGAGTGCCATGAGCGGCTGAGGCGGGGAGAGCACAGGAGGTCGGGCTCCTCGGATACCGACTTCGCCGCCTCCTCTCTTTGGCGATAGCAGGGGCAATCCAGCGAGGGGTGCCACAGCAGCAACGGCAGGGGCAGCCTTGGGGGATTCCTGACCGAGCGCCGCAGCGGTAGGCTCCTCCGCCGAATCAGTTGCGGTGGAATTGGAGGAAGAATTGAGGGACTCCTCAGGAATTGAAGCAGGGAATGAGGGAGGAAGGTCGCACTGGATGACCTCGGGGGCGGAAATGGTGCGGGCCATGGGAGAGGGGTCGTCGACGGGTGGCGAGGAGACGAAGCGGGAGCGCGGTAGTAGGTCGGAGTTAGAACGCTCTTTCCGGGCTTCCCATGCGGCGACGGGGATCGCGAACTCCTCCGGCCCCGATAAACCCAGGCTGCGGCACAGCTCGTCGACCTCCCCCTCCACGCTGCCGCTGATGCGGATGTCCGTGCCGCCGCCCCCGACGGCCAGGTCGAGCGAGCGCGACGGCCGGAGCCCCAGCGACCGGTCCGCCGACATGGACGACGACCACGACGCGCACGCCGGCACGGACGACGCCCCCGCCCCCGCCCCCGCCCCCGCCGCCTCGTAGTCGATGTGCTTCACCGCGTTGCGGCGCTCCAGCCGCGAGCTACGCCCGCGGCTCCCGCTTCCGCTCCCTTCCCCTCCGCCGCCGCGGCTGCTGGAGTCCATCGACGACGCGTCCGCGCCGCGGCGGCCGGAGGAGGACGACTGCTTACGGCTCCACGAGAACATCTGGATCCATAAGACAACTGAATCCTCGCCTAGATGCTCGGCTCCATGGTGGCGCCGCCGCCGCCGCCGCCGCCGCGTAATCCCTCCGGGATCCAAGCTCAATTCCGCAGCAGCCACCGCCTCGCCTCGCCTCGCCTCGCGCCGTGTGATTTGTGGGGAGATTGGGAGCTCGCCTCGGCTTCTCGCGGGATGAAGTGGCGTGTCCGCGTGTGGGGGCGTCTCTCGTCGTCGCGGCAATCAAACCTGCCATATAAGAGGCCAACGCAGACACCCACAAGTCAATGACCCGGTGGGCCCACATCTAAGCGGGGCCCGGACATCAGTGACGTGGATGCGTAGCCTCCTCCGTGCGTGTGTTCGCCGAGAGGTGTGCGGCACAGCCCGATGGACCCGACGCGGGTTGACTGCGACGACGACGAGGGAGCGAGCGCGGTGGGCCGCGGTAAAGAAGAAGGGGTCGATGCGGCCACGCGTGGGGCCCACACGTCAGCGGGAGAGCGGCGCGGGGGTGTAAATAAATGGATGCCGTTGGCGTGGATGTGAGGCCAGTGGGGGGAGTGCAGTGGAGGCGTGTGAACGGGCGGTGTCGCTGAGCCACCACCTGTCAACGGCAGTTGCGCGCACGGCGCACGGCGGTTGCAGATGAGGCAGGCAAGAAACTTTTAACGAAGCATATGCCTCCGGTGACCGGGTCACTCTACGGTTTGGCGATGGTAAATGGCAACCATGTTTTTACTGCTAGAGCCCTGGATTACTGTTTGCAATGGACGATACGATAGTTTTCTAAAACTTATTTGTTGTTTTTAAGAAAATAAATCCTACAGTTACTCATTTTAAAGATGATGATGTTTTGGTCAAACTATCTTCATCCGTGTGACAGAAAAATGTTACATTTGGTTTATCTATAAGAAATTGCTAAATCACATTTGGTAGAAGTTTAACTTAGAGCAAAAACTTACAAATTTTTAACCTTAAAATTTGCCTTGTGATTGACTCCTTATTTAGCTAATGTGACTCCTACAAGCTTCATAACCGGAAGCGGCTCGGCGATTTAGGGTTTAAGGTGGGGGATAAATGGGATAGGAAGAGGAGGGAGTTACCTGAGCTTAAAGGAATGATTGTGGGAGACGACGGAGAGGGGGTGGATGGTGGAATGGACGGACAGCCTGCATGTGTTAACAAATAAAAGCCAAGCTAAGTGAGTGGAAGGAAGCACCGATAAAGGCGTCACCAGCGGTAGAGAGCCGTAGAGACGGGAAGAAGGTGGGGTGGGAACACGTCACCACTGTTGGCTAGAAAGAGGAGACGAGGGAGAGGAGGTTGGTCAGGGGCCTCATCGGTGTTGTTGGCACCTTCTTGTTAGGCGGTAGCGCCGTTGGGCAGGGCGTCATGCGTCAAGCAAATATGGTGGCGCTTTAAGTGAGAAGGTACTTTACAATTCTTTCCAACGATTTAGAATTCGTAAAATCTTTTTTTGTTTTCTGTCAAATTGCAAATAGATGTTCCTTTTTATCTATATATGTTGTACGTATCTGATGACGATCGCAATATATTAATCCTCATGTGTAATAAACTTAATGCACAATATCTTGCCACATCCATGTTTATAGAGGGTAGTATTTAATGGTTACGCCAAACCAGAAAGTTTATTTTTAAATTTGAATTCAAAGAGTTTGTTTAAAATTTAAATGATAACTAAAAAACAATATCATCTTTCAAAAAAAAATTCCTTCTCCATAGGGTCATGTATACTTTGATGTCAAACCTACGATAATCAAGTTGGTAAGTTGACTAGCTAGGATCCTATCAAAATTGTCTTGCTCTCAACTCTCACCTAAGGAATTGGAAAATAGCATATGCAAGTGCAAATACTTATGTAGCAACTTGATTGAAGTTTGCAACTCATGATATCAATATTTATATACCCTTATGTTCTTTTCCGAATGACTAAATAGATAGTAAATGATTTGTGATAATTACTCGAGATTGCAAATGAATGCATTAACTATTACAAAATTTTAAATGAATTTGAAACAATATTGTAAGACATTCACATAGGTATAAGGTTTTGCAAAAATTAAATCGTTTAATTTATTAGCTCAGAAAACAAACCCTTTAATCTACTCGTCTACTCATCATAAAAGAATGAAACATGGGATTTGAGTTTTGATGTCAAACGAACCCACATAAGATCATAGCCAAGTTTAGTATAGTTGACTACTAGAATTTTCTCTATCTTAAAAGGCCATGTTCTCAACGCTCAAGTACGATTTTGGAAAAATATCATGCAAGTACTTCACAGGTTAATAGGAGTAAGACTGGACAACATGGCACATTGGCACCAGTTGATCTTGACATTTGATTTGCTTATGAAAAACAGGTAGCCGAAAACCCGAAATAGTAAGCTACACGCCGCTCACACGGAAGATATCGTTTTAACCTCTGCCTCAGCTACTATATACTAGTTCTGTTTTTTAATGTACGATGCCGTTGATTTTTTTCATTAAAGTTTGATCATTCTTTATATTCAAATTTTTTTGTGTAAATATAGAATTTTTAAAACATGCTCAAAAGAACATTTTAATGATAAATCAAGCCACAATAAAATAAATAATAATTATAAAAAATTTTAATAAGATAAATGGCTAAACGTATCAAAAAAGTTAAAAGACGTCGTACATTAGAAAAACTGAGGGAGTAGTACGCTCGTTTTCGTGAGAGCCGGAGACCATTTTTGCAGGTTCATTGGCACCAAAAGAAAAGGGTTACATCGCGGACGTACCGGTCTTGTAATCTTTCCGTGGCAGATTCGACGCACCGTATGTTTTTAGATAATGGGTATAATCCAAAAATACGTAATGTGTTTGTCACCGCTCGAGGGGTATGAACGGCGCGGGCGTTGGCGCAGCGCGTGACAGTCACGTGAAGTCGTGAGCAAGGTGGCGGCCGGCAACCGCCAACCAGTCTACCGTCCGCCACCGCTAGCAGCCAGGTGCCCAGGTGAGTGAGTCTGTGTGACACACCACGTACACGGTCGCCTCAACGACTTCTTCCGTTTGAAGCGTGGACAATCGATCAGTTACTGGAGTGGCACAGTGGAAGCAGAGTGCAGGCGTGTATATATAAGTACACCCTATGTTTCTAAATATTTTAATACAGTTGATTTTTTAGCAACCGTTCATCTTTTTTAAAAAAACTTTTGTGGAATATGTAAAACTATATATATATATATATAAATATATTTAACAATGAATCAAACGATAGAAAAAGAATTAATAATTACTTGAATTTTTTAATAAAACGAATGGTCAAGTATATTTAAAAAAGTTAACAGCGTCAAATATTTAGAAACGGAGGAAGTACGTTGTAGCTGTTGGAAATATGGTCATGAATCGGCATATTTTAATCCAAAATGTTAAGACAATAATCATGGCATAAGCAGTGTAGGGTGATCTAGTGACAACATGTAACATAACCAGTAGCATACTAAAGACATCATGCGCATCATGAATATCAGGAACAAGAACATAGCAGTAACGCAATAGCATGCTAGAGGCATCATGAATATCAGGAACAGGAACATAGCAGTAAAGCGCTAACAACGGGAACAGGAACAGGAGAAGGATATACCCCGAGAATGGCTCTCCGCTGGATTGTGAGGCAGAATTGCCTCCGTTGGTGTTGTTGTTCGCGCCACCGGCTCCAGCTCCTGGCGCACCACCTCCGGCTCCAACTCCTGGTGGCGCACCACCTCCGCCATCTCCTCCAGCAGCAGCGGCGGCGGCGCCGGCTCCAGGCGCAGACATGGTGGGGCGAGAATGAGCAGTCGTGTGGAAGCACTCCCCAAAAACCTGATCACCCGCCTACCCGGTGCAGATCTCAGGCGAAGGTGTGGTTTTGGAGGCCCTGCTCCTTCCAATCTCTCGTGCACGCAAGCGATCAGAAGCGAGGAGGCGAGAACAGTACAGGCGCGGAGGAGGAGGAACTAACACCGGGAAAGAAGCAAGCGATCCGTGCCGATCGGACTCGCGGCCTCCATCAGGAGAGAGGCAGTCGTGGGAACGTGGGCGCGCTGTTGCGGAGGCAGTCGTGGGAACGTGGGTTAGTGGCTGCAAAAGAGTAGCGATGTGACGTGACGCACACCCGCCAGCCACGCCTCGCCCACGCCCACGCCTACGGCCTCGACCCGGCGCGCGCGCGCGCGCGTGGCTTTCCGACCCCCACCTCAACCAGTCAACAGGGAGCCTCCAATAACTCCCTATTTAGGTTGAGATATTCCTCGCTTAAATCCTGAGGTGGTATTATTATCCTTAACACTTATTATGGGCCTTTGAGATTTAATAGGATAAGTTGGGCCTAGCCCAATTATTCTAACAATCCCCACCAAATTTCAAGGCTCATAAGAAATGTTCTCAATGTTGTGCCTGTTTGATATACTAGGGTTTTGGTGGAGACTGTTAAGTTGAACTTCCACCTAGGAAATGAGCTACATCAGACCACAACTGAACAATGGACTGTGCCTTGAATTGTCAGTTTTGTGTGATTAGGTTTCACTCAGAACCTTGACTGGTACTGGGCTGCCGTTCGCATCCCCTCTGTTTGGAGCATATAAGTCAAACTCCAGGCCTTTCATGAGTATTTAGAGATCGCCCAAACCTCATAGACTGTGACTAGCAGTCGAACTCATATAGGTGTGTTCCTTCTGAGATGTTCTGCAGGTCAACATCTCTGCTTGGAAAAGCCACTCGGATCACATTAAGGCATGAGCCATCCTACCATGCAGGAAAGAAGAGAAGTACATCATGAAAATGAGCCCTTTTCAAGGGTCTCTTCTCTCAGTCACACAATAGTTTGTTTCGCCATCCAAATTCACGGGATCTCCGATCACAATGGACAGGTTTCCACTATTGTGCAACCTTAGGTGGGTATCAAGCCCATTTCCCTCGATGCACTGTCTATCATAATACGTGGTAGCCCCTTGGTAAACTGATCTGCTAGATTTCTAGCCGTTTGGACATAGTCCAATGCTATCACTCCGGAGTTTTTCTGCTTTCTGACATATTTCAGTCTTCTCTTGATATGCCTAGATGATTTCATGTTGTCCTTTAAACTGTTCACTTTAATAATCACTATTTGATTATCACAGTTCATTAGGATAGCTGGCACTGGTTTTTCAACCACCGGCAAATCCATCAGGAGTTCACGAAGCCACTTGGCCTCAACTGTCG